AGAGAGAGAGGGAGGGAGGGAGAGAGAGGGAGGGAGGGAGAGAGACAGAGAGACAGAGAATTGAATTATACATTTTTCCTTACGGTACATTCAGAGCAAAGAAAAGTTTCTCTACTCAAGACCAGTATGAAGACAAGACAATAGTTACTTTAACAATATGAAAAGTTTTACAGCACTAATGACTCCTTTAGTCTTGTAAGACACCAGAAGGTAGACGCCTTGTTTGTTTGAGGGAACAAAAGCACATCCCCACAATAACAATCGTTAAGGGCTAGGAAAACGTTTTTACTTTTGTGTTAGAGCACTTGCAACACAATTAGGTCGTATAAATGCCAAAGAATAGAGTTGTAAATTGGAGCTAGAGAATAAGATACAAAATTTTAAAAAAGAAGAGAGATACATACATATATATATTATATAGAGAGAGACTTTCCTGATGAACAATATTTGGTCAGGAAGAAGGAGGAAATCCCACCAAAGTGCCCAGAGCAAGACAGAAGTAATTGGAGGAGAGTAAAGACCTACAATCCACCAGTGGCACCCTCTAACCACCCACTGGAGGCAGACAAAGGCAACAAACAATAACACAGAAAATAACAAAGAAGGCCAAACTAAGTCAAACATAATGATAGGAGGAGGAGGAGGAGGAGGAGGAGAAGAAGAAGAAGAAGAAGAAGCAGGAGGAGGAGAAGAAGAAGAAGAAGCAGGAGGAGAAGAAGAAGAGGAGAAGAAAAAGAAGAAGAAGAAGAAGAGGAGAAGAAAAAGAAGAAGAAGAAGAAGAAGCAGGAGGAGGAGGAGGAGAAGAAGAAGAAGAAGCAGGAGAAGGAGGAGGAGAAGAAGAAAAAGAAGAATTAATAATAATAAATAGCATTTGTAAAGCACATATCTCAGCTCAACTGCAAGCTCTATGCACTTTGCAATTTATATATTATTACCCTAGCAGACCTTCGAATGCTCAGAAACATCCTTGGTTTCCTAGGGAAGTATACAATGCAAGCAGTCTATTCACTACAATCGCTCAACAAACATTATGCGGGCAGTATTGCATACAGACGTATCTCAAAGGCCGCCAAAAATGACGTACGTCTGTATACAATACTGCCCGCTAACAAACTGACGCCATCTTTCACGGTCTATACCTCTAGTAGCCAATTTCCATTCCCACCTTGGTGACCCGAGGAAAGTTTGTGTGAAGTGCCTTTCCCAAGGACACAAATTCAGGCCCCTGATGGGGTCTGAACCCCACAACCTTTTGGTTGCAACCAAACAGCCTAACCACTAGACCACCAACATCAATACCTGTATGGGTTTTCATATGTGACTGCACGTAGATCTTCATGGCGAACCGCCTGCCACACACAGAGCACGCAAAAGGCTTGTCACTGGAATGTGTCGTCATGTGTCTCTTCAACACGGCAATCTGGCGGAAGTGGCGGCCACAGATGTCACATGACAGAGGCTTGGCGCCAGTGTGGCGCGCCATGTGCTCTTGTAGACTGGCGTTGCAGCTGAACTTCTTTTTGCACTCGGAGCACTCAAACATCTTGATGCCTGGGGAAGATATTTCACACGGATTTTGGGGGTAAATTATGAGTTTTGACTTTGTTGACCCTATCCGTACGTTGTGTTTTGCTATCGTATCCCTACGACGCGGGGAACTCTGTGCCACCACTTCCAAAATGGAAATTTACTTGTTAATCCAATCTGTACGCTTTGCATAGCAGTCTGTCAAAATGATTTTCTGAGAAATACTGAAAGTTTCAAAGAGATCTTCACACTATAAGTATTCTAAAATGTGAAGAATACAACTCCGGGGGTACAAAATGACCCCAGGGCGTACGGATAGGATAAAGAGAAGCACATGAGCAAGATGGCAGCTGTTTACCGCAAGGCAAAGCAATAGGCCTGTCCACTGAACCGACAAACAACACAGGGCGGGAAGAAAAGAAGGAGGACGTACCAGCAGCACCCTCCAACCATCCACGCGGTAAGTTCAATTGGCCTACCCTGCCAAACACTAAAATCGCATTCAGAAGACATGGCACTTGTCTCGTAAGAGTTTTACGGCACTTGCAACACAATTGATTCACTGGGGGCTCCAGTGGCTAAGTGAGTAGTGAGTTTTGACTCAAGCAATGTCAAGCAAGTGTCGGTGACACGGGGATCAGATGGGTGGTCACTGGAGTGTGTCCTTGAGCAAGACACGACAACCCTAGCTCAAATTACAGGGCGCTGCACAGTGGCGACCGACAGTGGCATTGTTTGTAAACTGTTCTGTATTTGTGTAATAGTGTGTATTTATGTATGTATTTATGCATGTATGTATTTATGTATGTACGTATTTATAATTATGTATTTATTTATGTATGTTTGCCATTGTAAAACAAAGTGCCCTTCTGGAACAAATAAAAGTGTAATTTATTTATTTTATTTATTATTTTATAAGGTCATCATAAAAGTGCCGAGAATAGATGTGTTACAAGACAGTAACATACACAAAAAAAGAAGGAGGAGGAGAGATAAGGACAATGCATGTTTGATGGGAAAGAAGGAGCAAACCACACCAGAGCACCCGCCAACCACCCATGACATGGCACTCGGCCCACGAGGATGACAACAACAAAAATGCAAGGAACATGGCATACTAAAATAAATTTTTAATTCCGAAGTGCGAAAAAAAAGAATAACAACAATGACGTACAATTCTGTTTCAAATTAAATGTGCTACATCTTTTCCATTTCCAGGTTCTAAAATATTTTTTGTGCTGTATTTTTGTTCCCTTGTTATCTGAGCCAAGTATTGTCACAAGTTGAAAAAGCTACAATGGAACACATCTCCGAGATGTAAAAACAAATGAAGTCGAAATTGTGACCTTGGGAAAGGCATTTTAGACAAATTTGTCTCACTTCACCTAGGAGGGACGGTGAAGGACATTGTCAGTTTGTTACTGTTTAACCCTATCTGTACGCCCTGGGGTCATTTTGTACCCCCGGGGTAGTGTTCTTCACATTTATGAATACTTCTAGTACGAAGATCTCTTTGAAACTTTCAGTATTTCTCAAAAAATCATTTTGACAGACTGCTGCGCAAAGCGTACGGATCGGATTAGCGAGTAAATTTCCTCTTTGGAAAGTGGTGGCACAGAGTTCCCCACGTCGTATGGATACGATAGTAAAACATGATGTACGGATAGGATTAAGTGGTGGCACAGAGTGTAAAACACGATGTACGGATAGGGTTAAGTTGCTTACACTACACATACTTCCAGGGATGCCAACAATGTTTCTGAGTATTCTAGGGTCTCCTGGGACAATAACAGATGTAAAGCAAAAACAGCACGCTTAAGATCACGGATATATATATATATATATATATATATATATATATATATATATATATATATATGCCAAATAAATGCAATTATTACTACTATTATCAATTGAGCAAATTGAGTATTTACCCATATGGCTGAGCTGATGTCTTCTCAAACTCTCTTTTGTTCTCAGTCTTTTGTCGCAGCCTTCAAACTGGCAGGGAAACGGCCTCTCTTCTGTGTGGGTGATCAGGTGGGCCTTGGCGTTGCCTGGGGAAAGTCCAGGGAGAGAAAAACAGTGACAAATGACACTGATAAAGTCCTCCTTTTCAAAGCTGGAAGCAAATCCTTAATGACTGACCCTTGATTCACTTCGCATAAGATAAACATTTACTTCACATACGATAAACATTTACTTCACATACGAAACTTCACATACGATAAACATTTACTTCAAATATGATAAACATTTTTGTCACATGATAAACATTTACTTCACATACGAAACTTCACATACGATAAACATTTACTTCAAATATATGATAAACATTTTTTTCACATATGATAAACATTTACTTCACATACGAAACTTCACATGTGATAAACAGTTACTTCACATACGATAAACATTTACTTCACATACGATAAACATTCACTCATACCGGGGGGGGGGAATTGGAGATGAAAGCAGATGACAGACCAGGACTACTGACTATAGAACAGGAAAGGAGATGCAAGGAAAAAAATTTTAGAGAACAAAATGTTTTCCTCCCTGTCAGGTTTCAAACCTGGGACCTTTACAGTGAAAGGTGAACACCATACCTATAGACTAAGACCAGGAGATATATGTATACCTCTCAAGGAAAATATTCTCCTATAGACTAAGACCAGGAGATATATGTATACCTCCTATAGACTAAGACCAGGAGATATATGTATACCTCTCAAGGAAAATATTCTCCCACAGACACAGCATTTGAATCCCGAGGGAACTTTCACGATCTGGTTCTTTGTGTCTGCTCCGTCGGCTTCCACACCTTCTGACGACGGCTCTTGCGCTGGGTCTGAGGGAGGAGAAAAGTTGTAGTTTTAGTAAAAAGTTTTACGGCACTTGCAACACCATAAGGTCATATAAGTGCTGAAGACTAGAGGTGTTACAAGAGAGTAACAAATACAAAATAGAAGGAGGGGAGATAAGGACGGTAGATGCTTGATAGGAAAGAAGGAGCAAACCACACCAGAGCACCTGCCAACCACCCACGAAGAAAAGTTTACACGTGAGACAATAAGAGAAGAGGCTCAAATAAATAACCCCCCCCCCCCCCACAAACAAAATAAATAAATGAATACTTAGCCATGTTCAAATGATTGAAGAGGAAGAGCAGCTTTAAAAAAAACAGACCATAAACACACAACACAAAGATGAACAGCACACAACATATATGAATTTTATTTTTTTTAATATTTTTAAAAAATTCCAAACCAGCATCATATCCAGGCCTTAAATCTTGTATTGTGTGCTTCCTTTTTTTTTTTTTTTTTAAATAGTAAAGGGTTTTACAGCGCTCGCAACTGCATCGTCTGCTCCATATCAAGGAACGTTTAAGTTTAAAGTTTTAGTAATAGTTTAATGGCACTCGTAAACACAAAGAGGTCAAATAAGCACGGAAGATTAGACGTATTTTTAGAGAACATATGAATAAAAGGAGGAGAGATAAGGACAATAGATGTTTGATAGGAAAGAAGGAGCAAACTACACCAGAGCACCCACCAACCATCCAGCTTCAAGGAATAGAAGAGCTCTAACTCTGTGATCTGAACAGACCTTGAGAGAAGTTGACTCATCTTTATCTATACAGCAAAGCATCGGGGCCTCTCATGGTCTAGAGGTTACGGTGTTCACCTCTCATTCAATAGGTCCTGGGTTCAAAACCTGACAGCGACGGAAAATGTTCTTCTCTGAAACGTTACCTTTCACCTCCTTTCCTGCTCTCTAATAATGTTTTGTCGTCTGCTTTCGTCTCCACTTTCTGCCCCCACTCCCACCCCCACTTTTCCCCCTCCTCTGGGCTCCTGACTCTATCTGCAGCCTTTCTACTGCTACTCCTTGGCTCCTTCTTACTGCTGTCTTTCAGCCACACCCCTGATCTTATGGTACCGTAGGAAAGATCTACACCTAGTCTTCTCGGATAAGGGCGAAAAATCTTGGAGGTCTCATGTACAAGTTGCGCACATTAAAAATCCCTTGGTGGTCCAAAATCGACAAGATTAGGCTTCGGTCGACACCCGGGCAAAATTTAAAATTAATTCCTACTAAACTGAAAAATGTTTATCATGTCCGCACGCTCACATGAACTTATGCAGTTGCAAGCGCCGTAAAACACTTACCAAAACAAAACAAAGAATCGTTTGCAAGCTGTACAACTGTTTTAAGCCCAGCGAGCAACATTTTTCAGGAGAGTGAAAAAACTACTTCATCATTGTTTTAAAAAAACTGTACCTACATTATGCATCCTCCTGGCTTTTTTCAACATTTAGAATTTGAGCTTTGAGAAAAAATTTCTCAAACACAAGCAACCAATACCAAACAATAAGAAAACTACAAACTGCAATAAAAACATTTTTCTAAATTTTGGGTATAGAACATCTGAACAGTTACACAACAAAATTCGGAGTCACTGCTCACCTTTCAACGGTTGCGGATTTTTCCTAGGCCTCCCTGTAAAGTAAACAAAATATAAAGTTAACAAAAACTTTTTGTATAACAAAGTACAATTTAAAAAATTTATCTTTGAAAGTCCTTAAACCAAGTTTTAAAAACATATAAAACGACACCCCTACCTTTACCTTCTCCAAAATAAAACAAACCCTTAACTCCCCCCCAAAAATCAGCCAAAAAAACATGAAATGACAATTTAATTCAAATCAGTAGGAACAAACATCAAGCTGTTTAAAAAGAGTCTGCATGTCGTTACAACAAATAAAACACTATAAGAAAACTTCTTGTAAAGTTGATGTTTTTGTGTTTTTACACCCACATTGACACACAATCTAGATTATCACAGAATGGGCTCTGGCCCTGCCAGTCTGGATCAAATTCCGCCAAGAGGGATGCAACATCCCAGCCAAAAGATCAAGATTATATTCGATAAAAATTCTCCCAGCTCAAGAACCGAAAGAACACTGATGTCTTAAGAGAGTGTAATGACTGGTGAAACCTGTTGATACTCACCGCGACCTCTTCCAGAGGGAATTTTCTGTACCTTCGGCTTAGCTACAGTTTTTTCTGGTTCAAAGGAAGCATCATCTTCTTCAGCCTCATCTTTATCCTCTTCACCAGCAAATATCCGATAATCACTGCAGAGTCAGGAAAATAGGTGTGTAGGAGACCCTAGCTTACAAATGATTGAACAGTAACCAGTTTCAATAACAGTTGTAAAACTTGCATACAATTTACTACATTTGAAGGATTTCTTGACAAAATACTTAATCTCCCTTTGCAATATCTGAACTTCCTCTTTTATCCCTTTATAATTGTGAGCGGGAACTATTACTATTAACTTTAACGTGTTAAAAATATTTTGTCACAAAACTAAAATCAGAACAAATTGTAGTATTTGTAATGATTATGATAAATAACTGAATTTATACTGCGCGTACCCACGCTCTACAGCATACTCTATGAATGCGATTTACAACTATTATTAGCCCAGCAGACCCTAGAACAGCCAGAAAACATTCTTAGCGTCCCCAGAAGCATACAGTGCAAGCTGTGAATTGCATGCACTCAAACACTAACAGGACCTTTCGCTGTCTATAGCCAGGAACCCATTCCCACCTGGGTGACCTGAGGAAAATTCGGGTAAAGGGCCTTTCCCAAGGACACAACATAGGGCCCCTGACAGGATTCAAAACCATGACCTTAAGGTTACAAGTCTGCAAGACCTAACCATAACGTCACTGCCCCCACAATTTTACTATGCTGCAATAATTCACCTTTGTTTCAAACAGTCTACAACAGCAATCTTTGTACACTGCAAGTATAATTTATCATGCAAGAGGCAACCTGTAAACTTGATTGTAAACTTACCTAAATTTTAAAGGGATGTATCTTTTTCGGCTAGGAAGATGACTGGAATTCCTTTCTATGTCGTAGTCGTTAGCTTGAATGGCAATCTCTCTCGCATTGCTCTTTACAGAGCTACCAGGGAGTTCTTGGGCAGAAGTTGGAGCTCTGTCCTCAACACGTTCCTGGAGCAATGACAGGAAATCATTTTATACTTCGAGACAAAAAGACATGAACAAATTTAAGTGCATTCTTTCACTTATTATTTGGCATAAAAAGCAAACCACACTTCATACCCTTTAATATCAGATTTGCATTAACTTCAAAACAGAGGAAACTCAGACACAGTTCAAGAAAAATTAGCCCTCATATTGCTAGAAAGAGTACATGATGAATTTTTTTGTACTTAAACTTTTTTTCTGGCAACTAGATCTAGATTCTAATCTGAAATGGAAGAAGATAAATTTGCGTTTTTAAAGAGCTTGATTTTAAAACTTGTTTTTCTTGACCATCAACGATACAACTTATCAGTTTTGACTACTGGACAAATCATACTTTCAATTTGAAATCTGGATTGAAACTCAAAGTGAGTGGGATCCATGTGAATGTGATTATTAAACAAAAAAATTGGAATGCCCAATAAGTCTTAGTTCTGTACATCAATAATTGAAGACACACGTAATCTCTAAGGACTTTACAATTCAGGAAGGGAGAAAGGACATCATGCACGCAGCATCGGAATGCACTGTGTTGAAACGTTTTGAATAACCCAGAAAGAAGGGAAAAGAAAGATTTTTAAAATAACATAAAAAAGAAAAAGAGGAAGAGTTCCTTTACCTGTTGGGAAGATGAAATATCCGGTCCTTCATTTTCTGTGACTGCAAATATTGTTTCATCTTGCCCAGGGCCAGGGTCACCTAAAAAATGTTGAAAATCTTACGGCTCGAAAGAAAGAATTTTGACTGACAGACATATAAATTATTAAATAATCAAATTATTTAATGGCACAAGAGACAAATCACCATGTATACCTCCATTCATACTTGTTCAATGTTTTACTGTACACCTAGGCTAATTAATCATTTAGAACTAGATCTACATCAAGATCTAGATTCTAGTATCTTCGGGCTTGGACTGATATCTGAAAATTATCAGATAGCCTAAGAGTGAAAACCAAGCCGTCCAAGCATTTGGCCTTAATAATTCCTAAATTTAACATGCATTGGCATCTACACAATCAGCTCAGATTACTGTTTTGCCTTTGCAGTGGCACTGTAAAAAGTTATAACATTAATCATACAGATCAAGAATCTACACTTAGGCCTACGGTGAATTAGCATTGACTATTGACATTGTTATTGACATCTTCATCATAGGCCTCGTCTAGAATCTATATTATAATAAAGATAAAAAATACAAATGATAGAGATATGGGCTCTATTACTACTTAGTTTGTTACAACTGAATACAGGCCGAGAGATTCCAAGCGACAGTGGTGACAGTGCGACGAATTATTGCAACAAAATTATGTTGAAAGGAGACCAAGATCTAATCTAAGATATTAATTCCATTCCGGAACAACATCGTTTGTAGCAGAAGCGTTTGGATTCTGCAGGCATTTTCAATATCCAAAGCGACAATGATAAGATTCTTGGAAAATATTATTGGGTGAAGAACAATAACAACAAGACAAGGGACCCTTCTACTTCTGGTCATGATGGCAAAACAAGGCCGGACATGAGGAAATTACTACACAGCTTATGAGATTTCAGAAAATGCCCCATTTTTAATAACACAGCGATAAAGAATTCATCAATCTAAATTCATAATTAGCTAAACTAAATAGAAAAGGAAGAAGGGAAATAGCATGCCTTTATCAACGCCACAAGGGGCATCCATGTTTCCCAGCTGGTCGTCACTGGGGCAGGTCGGGTTATTCGTGGTCGGGATGGCTATATGCAATTGCCTGGGAATAGAAGACTCACCTGCCCTGTTGTTCCCAAATCATTCGTTTTCATTTTCATTGTAACCTCATAATTAGGCCTTAAATTGGTATACATTGTTTTTATAATATTCTAATGTTCAAGATTCGGAAAGAAAATAAATCAGAGTTTATTAGCTGCTATATCTAGTAGTGCTAGACTAAATCGAGTGGCATATTTTCTGACAGGGAAAATAAAGCCATACCCTGCCACGAACTAAAAAGAAAAGCAACCCCCCCCCCAAACAAACAAACAAAATCCCCTAATCAGCAGATGTGACTTAAACTTAAACGGAGGTTTGCTCCCCCCAAAAAAAAGATCTTTTCTTTTAGAATGCTTTTGTGGGTTAGGAAAAAAATTACATGTCGTGTATATTTCAAGTGCCAAATCTGCGTGCATCTCATTTGTCAGCTGTGTGTTCTCAAAAAACGTGTAGATCTATACGTATACATAATGTAAATAATTTATTGCCCCAGTCTTTTTTCTCACCAATCACCTGTTCAAGTTCTAGCCCATTCATAGTAAGTTGCTCTAAGTCTACCGCTACCTATTTTGCATAAAAAATCCTTTTTAGAACAAAGGAAGATAGCGCCTACATTGAAATCTGGGGGCAAGAAGTATGTGTGCTGTGGATGGCTCATGGAGTTAGACCTATATACGTTCTTAACGTTCTCTGATCGTCTAGAGTTAGACCCTTTTAAAGTGCCTATAGTGTAGGCCTACATCTGTGGGGTGGCTCCGCCACTATTCCTGAAGTGCTGGGGGGGGGAGATGCGCTTGCGCTATTCTCAAGCTATGACATTCACGACTTTCCTGCCATCGAAGTAGCTATCCGCAAATCGTCTTAGGGCCAACACCGCATGCGCGACCCGAGTAAATAATGTGACTTTGCCACCTCTCATGTCACATGACTTGAGGTCACATGACACCCACGGGGGCGACATTTTCACCAGAGAGTCTGATTATTAGTGTATACCACAAAAGGTTTTTTTTTAACTACTGGCATAATAATACTGCGTTGCACGACAAGTCAAAATGGGTATCAAAACACGAAGTTATTTTTTTTAATTAAAAAAACAACAACAGTCCCTATCACTATCACATAGAATCTAGTATAGATCTAGTCTGTTTCTCCTCTTTCTTTTATCAATCAGTCGGATCAGTCTCCCCCCCCCCCCCCCCCCCCTTCCTCTCTCTCTTTCTCTCTCTCTCTCTCTCTCTCTCTATTTCTCTCTCTTTATCTCTCTTTCTTATTCTTAACTTTCCTTATCCGTCTTCCTTTCCCAGACACACACCCCCCCCCCCGGGGGTATGGGGGGGGGGAGCGGGAAGTCCCATAACTGGGGCCACACGACAAGGGGGAGGGGGGGGGGGGGGCTCCCACCAATATATTTATTATACATATTATAATATAGGCGGAGAATTCTGCGGCCTATAGCTGTATAGAGTCAGATACTTGTATACCGTGAATTGGACTTCAGTGACATCATCAGCGACTTGGCCGAATGAAAATCGAGACTAGTTCTCCAACCATTCTCTGGTTTGAACTACGTGTGTGTAGATGTATTTACTTGTTAGTTAGACTATATCTATACTGTGTCCTGGACTAGAGACTCCATCCATTCTCTGGTTTGAACTACGTGTAGATGTATTTACTTGTTAGTTAGACTAGATCTATACTGTGTCATGGACAATTAAATAATTTAAACTGAATTTCTCTGTGGCCTCCCACATGCTTAATACAGCCTTGCCCCTACCCCTAGTTGTTTTAATTTAAAATAAAAAAAAAAAAAATACGGCTCAGAATAGCTGGCACTCTGAAACAAGCAAGTGGGTGGTTGGCGGGTGCTCTGGTGTGGTTTGCTTTTTTTTTCCTATCAAACATCTGTCGTCCTTATCTCCCCTTCTTCTCTTTTGTTTGTTACTCTCTTGTAACACCTCTAATAGTCTAATCTTCTGGCGCTCATATGAGTATAATGATCTTATGCAGTTGCGAGCGCCGCAAAACGTCTACTACTACGGCTCAGAATGTCTTTGCATCAGTGCATGATTATAATATTGTTGAGTGTGGCCAAGTATATTTTTTGTCTTGGTGAGATGCCACGGAGGAAGGTTGTGAAAAAGACATTGCTCTGTATCTTTTTCTGAACATTCTTTTGGTTTCAGTGTTCTCAAGGACTCGACCGAGCCCGAGAGCTTAAATCATTCAATGAATGTTGACGTTGTTTTGGCACAATTTGGTTTCTTTTTATTATGCTCAAACGAGTTTTAAAACATCCGGGTTGTCGGGTGATGAGCTTTGTTTGCCCGTGGGCAGTGGAGTGTAGATCTAGTGAAGAGTTTTTATCTTCTAATTTTGAAGGATGGGATGTCGACATCAGTGCTTTAACTTGTCCTATCTAAATGTTTTGTTTTTACATTGAAAATGTGACTTCTTCTTAGCTCTCTCTTTGTAATGGACTGTTTTCACTGATGTTAAAAATGTCTCTAGGACAAGAATCAAAGCACTGAGCTTGTGGGATGTTGGCCTCGGCCTGGGGGGCTCTGCGGGACCTAACCCCCCCCCTGTCCAGGGTGACAGCCTCCCTCAACTGCCATCTGTGGTGTAGCGGTTAGGCGCTTTGTTGTCACACGCAGGAGACCCCAGTCCGATTCCCCAGGGAAGGGAACTTTTGTTATTGAGTATCTCGGCCTTTTTGCGGGGATAGGAAACAACACCCACTGAAGGGAGAGTGAGGTTGACGTTGGTCGTGAGTTACGCGTTTATCACGCGCCAATGGAGTCCTGCCTCCTGCACCTTTTGGGGCTACACACCTAGATCTACTCCAATCATTAGGACGCGGAAAATGGGGATAGAGAGGGGAGAAGGAAGAAAGGAACGATTATCTGCAAAGGAAAAACGTCGCCATAATCAGACAGCCACCGGAACAATCAGTATCGATACCTTGCGGGCTTTGGTGCTGGGGGGAACTGAGCACTTCTGGACCTGTCCGGTGTGCAATGACGTTGTTGCCCAGGACAGGTGATACAGGTAATACAGGGAATACAGGTAATACAGGTAATCTACTCCTAGCCTTGTTGTTGTTGCCCGTCCAGGCACAGGGGAGATGGTCTGTTGGTGTCAACAACTGGCCACTTGTCCGACTCAGAGCCACGTCAGTGTGAACAGGGACCACCTCGCGCAGGTTCGGCTGGCTGGACTGGGAGAAGTTGTATGAGACGCTTTCATGGGTTTTTATCATCTTCTTGATCTATATATATAAAAGTGGACTTGGGAGGCTTTGTGCACCAACTCCTCCCTTATTACCTAACCCACAACTTTGAAACTTTGCAGGTGCCTACAGCATCCATGTGGCTGGGGCCTAACTTTAAAATATCCACGCCAACCGCTTTCCCTGATTTTTCAAAAATGCTTTGTTTCGTCCGCACAGAATCTTGGGAAAGTCCGTCTTCTAAGACGCCAAGTGAGGTTTCCGTTAACTAACCATGCGCACTCATTTCACACCTGTGACATTCTGGAGTGTACAACCACGAAAGCGAAACAGAGAATCAATCTATAGGCCTACATCTATTATATATATTTGACAACTTGGAAACACGTGTCTCTTTTCTCAAAAGATTTGTTGCTCCATTCCAGTAGTGTAAATATAATTAATAGGCCAGTGACTTTCAGTCGATGCGAATGCACCGATCATTCCTTTCATCCAAAGGGGGCCCAGATAGTTGAGCTAGTTATATAAGTTCCTTCACCCTTCACCAGCCCCTGACCCCTCTGGGAGGAATAAAACATCCCAGCAGCAAAACAGATAGGTACTCGATACAAATTCTCTGCACACGAGAATCCAAAACGTGCGACGGTAAAGCACCTACCCGCTACACCACAAATGTCATGTCCACCTCAAGGACCTGAAGGGGCTCTCGTGGACTAGAGGTTATTTTTTGTTTTTGTAAAGTGTTTTACGGCGCTCGCAACTGCATAAGGTCATATGAGCGAGCAGGACACACCTAATATTTTCAATTGGTAGGAAATTTGGAATTTTGCCCGGGTGGCGGCCGAAGCCTACTCTTATCGATTTTAGACCACCACGGGATCTTTAACGTGCGCAACTTGCACACGGGTCCTCCGAGATTTTTCGTCCTTGTCCGAGAAGGCTAGGTGTAGATCAGAAGATCAGGGGCCTGGCTGAAAGACAGCAGTAAGGAGGAGCCAAGGAGTAGCAGTACAAAGGCTGCAGAAAGAGTCAGGAGCCCAGAGGAGGGGGCAAAAGGGGGTGAGGGGAGAAAGTGGAAATGAAAGCAGACGACAGAACATTGCTAGAGAGCAGAAAAGGAGGGGAAAGGAGACAATTTTAGGGAAGACAATTTTTCGGTCGCTACCCGGATTCGAACCCGGGACCTTTGAATGAGAGGCCAACATCATAGGGATGAAACCTTGTTTTTAGGCAGCTTATGTTTAGGCATCCAGCTCTGACAGCAAACAACATTAAATATTCTGGATGGAGAGCCAGAGGAAGACCAAGGCGACGATGGAGTGAATCTGTGGCAGACACCCTCAGAGCTCACGGGATGTCGCTCCTACAGGCCACTCGCCTTGCTGCAGACAGACGCCTGTGTCTCCCCGCGACACCCACCGCTACAAGCGGATGAGGCTAGCTGTATTAAGAATGTGGTGCATTTTGTCCACATATTTCTACACTGACTGAGCAAAGCAGAGAAAAAACTCATCTCGAAAGAATAGAAAGAAAACAAGTGTTTCAAGATATCATATTTATTACATATACATATCATGATAACACAATGTAGTTGAAAGTGAAGAAAGATCCCGTAAAAATGTCCCAAGTTCCAACGGTGAAAGACGGAATCTGAAAAAGAGAAGATTATTATAGCTACGTGAAGGAAACAATCACTGCAATATTTAGTTATCAAACACGTGGCTATAAGCTCACATTCAATGACTGACCAAAACCTCCTGACTCAATGAAAAGAGAAAGAATCCCTTCTTCTTCTTTTACTCACTTGCCTTGCGAGTCCTTCTTATTCACAGTACTCTTATACCGCTATTCATAATGCCATGTGTACACCATCACTGATTGTACTGAGATAGTACGAATGCCAGTTAGAGTTTTAATCTAAAGAGCCTTTGTATATTCGTTCATGCACATAAATTTTGTGTTAAGATGAAGGGCATCGTAAAGTGTCTAGAGCTGTAATGTACACGAGATAACACTCAAACATGGACAACAACAGACCAAACAAAATAACTCATCCTTAAAATAGCCTGAGTCGATAGTGCCGTAAAACACCTACTCAATCAATCAATCTAAAAGTAGCCTCTCCTATTAGGGGCACACTTGTCCAACGGGGAAAAAAAAAAAAAGAAAAAAGACAACTAGCTTACCATAGACAGTTCATGTCTCAGTGTTGGGCGTCTCTAAGACAGTCCCACACGTTTACACAACCGCACCGCTGACAAGAAATACAGTGTCTTTCAAGCACCAAATTTGTTCTTTAACATGTCTTTCTTTGTAGGCTACTCAAAACATGCACATGATGAAAAGATTTTCACATTCTGCCGATTTTGTTGTGTGTGCATGCTAGACTATCTTTAACACATTACACCCTAACTCGCCCGGGATCGCCCGGGAATTCCCTTACGCGCTCCACCCTGACTCGCCCGGAACCGCCCGCGCCGACCCAGCGTCTTTAGAAACGAAAGTCTCGCCTTGACGAGACTCTGGGACCGGGATGCGGTTCTGGGCGAGTCTGGGTGGAGCGTGTAAGGGAATTCCCAGGCGGTCCCAGGCGAGTCAGGGTGTAAAGTGTTAATTAAGCCTAATGAGATAGGGGGCAAAAAAACACTGAACTAAATTGACAGAAAATATTGCGACAAAAGCACATACAACGTGACCGAGGTCAAAGGCTGAACAAATACTGGTACCTTGAGGTCCCCTAGGCAGTGACACTTGGTGCATAGTTCTTCGATATCCGCTCAAACTCAGACTCCTGCAGCAGGGGAGGAAAAAAAAGGAGGAATTTAGAAACGTTATACCTTCTCTCAAGGCATCCAACTCTTTACGTTTCACATTTAAGGTACAGAAGGAAAACATCCTTTTCATTAAAAACAAAGCTATACCAGCAGTACCAACAAAATTCAACCAACAGAAAGATGAAATCAAGCCAAGAACACAGCATTATCCCACATCTGTTATACTATCAAATTTCATTCCACAAGTACGATATTTGTGTATTCAGTGGAACCCACTTGAATGCAACATGGTTCATCGGAAAACAGCCATAAACTGAGAGCAAAGAAAATACCCAGTTTTAAAACATTCTATTCAACCAACCTCTCTAAACCAAAACCAGGCCCAACCGCTGACTATCTGACCATCCTGCAGACTTTGGCTTAAATGGACTCCATTGTATTTCGAGAAAGAAAAACAAGTTAGTTAACAGCAGCACAGAAGTAGTACTTTGCAAAATCACCAGTCCTGTCTATTTATCATTACTGCACAGCTCAGTGATCATATTCATCTGGTTTTATAAGTATTCACTTGACCTTAGAGCATGCATCAGAATACCACTGAGTTTCAATCTGAATACCGAGTATGTATCTAGCTTAACATTATTTGTTTATATTACTGTTCACATTATGCATGTGACTGTAAGCCTGTCTGTGAGTGCAAGCATACTGTGTGTGTGTGTGTGTGTGTGTGTGTGTGTGTGTGTGTGTGTGGACAATAAAGATGTATCTTATCAAACCTTTTGCAGATAGTCTTTGACAAACGGATGGCTCCTGTGTGCATCCTTCAGCTGGGAGATGTACCTGTTGCTGACCTGCACAGAAAGTTTTAGTGGAGGTTTTACGGCGCTCGCAACTGCAAAAGGTCATACGAGAGCCAAAGGGTGGATGTCAACAGAGAAGTCTTTACAGGGAATCAGACTTACTCTGCTCACCTCTCTAGCTTCAACAGCACAAAGTCTGCTTCGACTATCAAGGCACCCCGGAAATAGCGAGTCACAAGAGTGTGACAAACATAAAAAAGAAGTAGAGGAAAATGACAATAGTAAGGATTAGGAAAGAAAAAGCAGCAGTTCCTTGTTGCAGTTCAGGCACAGTATGAGCATGACATTGATAAATCAGCCCATTTACAATTACAATTCTACTGTGCATAAGAACATGGTTAATGTCCCCCTTTTGGGAATGGCCTAAAGACACTTCAGTCAGTAGCACCGCCCCGAGGGGTTCTGCAAGAAACAAACACGGTTTCAGGGATATTCATTATAAGAGTACGTATTATTGTGCGTTTGCAAGATCTATCCTTAGAGAGTGGTTTTTCAAAATCCCATGGGAGCGATAGAACTGTCCTGAAAGAGGGAAAAAGACGAACATCTTGTCACAACACTGGTTATTCCTGGCACTCTTTAAAAAGCAGGTAAATCACACTTTTTAGTTTTCTTATTTCTATCAATGTAATGTAAAGCACTCTGTAAACTGTCTCAGAGGAATTGCGCTACTGATGGCCTATGCTCCACTTTGAGTTGTGAAAAAGGGCAAGAGACAGGAGAGGGATAAATGAAAAAAAGGGCAAGAGACAGAGAGGTATAAATGAAAAAAAAAGGCAAGAGACAGGAGAGGTATAAATGAAAAAAAAAAGCAAGAGACAGGAGAGGTATAAATGAAAAAAAAGGCAAGAGACAGGAGAGGTATAAATGGAAAAAAGGACAAGAGACATAGAGGTATAAATGTAACTACTATTATTATCATTATTCTCATTACGGTATTTGGAGGTGGGAAAAGATACCGCAGACAGACACAGACAAGCAGCACAAACCTCCGGGGCTTTCCCTAGGTGTTGACTGAGGAGGATCATGTTGATGATGGTCTCGGCGTTGTTGCTGTCCTGGGGAAGACAACAGGCAGACACAGGTCAGTTTTTTAGTAAGAGTTTTACGGCACTTGCAACACAATAAGGTCATATAAGTGCAGAAGATTAGAGGAGTTACAAGAGAGTAACAAACACATAAAAGAAGAAGGGGAGAAAATGAAGCAAACCACACCAGAGCACCCACCAACCACCCATTGACACAGGTCAGGAAAGCAGACACAGGTCAGGGAAGTAGACACAAGTAGACACAGGTCAGTGAAGTAGACACAAGTAGACAGAGGTCAGTGAAGTAGACACAAGTAGACACAGGTCAGTGAAGTAGACACAAGCAGACACAGGTCAGTGAAGTAGACAGAGGTCAGTGAAGTAGACACAAGTAGACACAGGACAGTGAAGTAGACACAAGCAGACACAGGTCAGTGAAGTAGACACAAGTAGACACAGGTCAGTGAAGCAGACACAAGCAGACTACAAAAGTACAAAGGAATCCGCTTAAACCAAACGGGGTTAATCAGAAAACATTAGTAAACAAAAAGAAAATAGAATCCCTGGGTTTTTTTTCAATTTCCAATTTAAACAATCCCTCTAAAAAATTCTTTCAGTCCTACAGATGTTGGTGTAAGCAGACTCAACTGTCCTCACCAAACAACGATACAACTGTTGCAAAACGTAGAGAAAAACACCAAGAGTCACCCCCAAAAAACCAACCAAACAACAAAAAAACCCCCAAAAAACTGATTATGCCAATAAATCGCGATCTCAAAGCTTTCTCGTCGTATCTACATTTTTTTTAAACATTGAAAGTGTGACTTCTTCTTAAGCTCACTTTGTTATGAACTGTCTTCACTGTCATAAAAAGAAGACACGACAAGAAACTGTCCCGGAGGTTTTATGCATCCCGCATAATTTAGCAAAATTTGATTATTTGTTGCATAATTTCTGATTACTTTCCTTTATCATTCTTTGTTAAAATTAACAGAATCGCATATTTCACATTTTTGTGCTCAGTTTGCATAATTTCAGATTTTTTGGGGCATAAAACCGCAGGGACAGAAGAAAGCACCAAGGTCGCGATACAATGCAAACAAGAAAATAAATTCAAACTACAGGACAATACTGCCGTGCCAAGGCAGACCGACGCATCTGCAAAAATTAGTAATTTTTATATCTTTGTTTAAATGGACGCCTATACCCATTCTGCATCTTGTGTCAAAGGCAAGAAGACGTATCTGCACAACAAATAGGAGATTTCACTATGGCAAACAGACGTCACTGAAGGGCCATGACCATATTTCCAATGGCAGCGCGCGCGGCGTAACCCAAAATGATAAAAAGTGCAGATACGTCGCCCTGCCCGGGCCCGGCACAACAGAAAAACCTCCTCACTTTGTCCATGGCCTCCTGCAGGACGGACTCGGCGTCGTCATAGCGCCCCTGGGCCAGGTAGCAGGCGGCCTGGCCATTGAGCAGTAGCGGGGTGCTGCTGTGTTTGTCTGCCATCTCTTGGAAGATGTAGTAGGCGTCTTGGAATTTGTCCCCTCCCTTCATCAAAGGAGACAGATTGGTCGTTTCAGTAAGATTTTTGAAATAGTTTTAACAAAATGTTTTACTTCACTTTCAACAAAATAAGGTCATGTAAGTGTCGAAGATTAGAGGTGTTACTAGAGAGTAACAAACACAAAAAAGAAGGAGGGGAGATAAGGACGATAGACGTTTGATAGGAAAGAAGAAGCAAACCACACCAGAGCACCCGTCAACCACCCACAGTAAGAGTTTTAGGGCTCTTGTCACACAATAAAAGGTCATACAAGCAGCAAAGATTAAACGTGTCACTGGAGAGTAACATATAAAGAAAAGGAGACGGAGGGATAAAGACGATAGACGTTTGATAGGAAAAAAGGAGCAAGTCACACAAGAGCACTGCAAACCACCCACAAGAGAGAAAGAAACAGAAAAGAATTAACAAGCCGCCAAGACTAACAAACACAGAGCAACAACTACGACTAACCAATCAAGCTAATTGAATTTTTGTTTTGTTTTAGTAGAGGTTTTACCGCGCTCGCAACTGCATAAGGTCAAATGAGCCCGCCAGAAGATTAGAGGTGTTACAAGAGAGTAACAAACATAAAAAAGAAGGAAGGGAGATAAGAACGATAGATGTTTCATAGGAAAGAAGAAGCAAAACCACACCAGAGCACCCTCCAACCACCCACAAATTGAATTTGTTGACTTGAAGTTTGTAAAACTTTCTTGAGCAAATAGGTGGCCTGATTTCACCAGGAAACTCATCAGAATGAGATAAAAACGCTTGAAAAGAACAAGCAGGAGCAGAAAATACTGGAGCATCCACCAACCACACACTTATAATTTCTTTGTTTTTCTTCTTTTAATGTAGTTTTTTTTTGTAAAGTCCCCACGATCATTTAAGAGGCTGGCTCCCTACCCTACCTGTCAGGGTCAGCCCGGGCTAAGGGGGATACAGCAACCCAGCAGACAGACTGAGATACTCCATTATAAACATTTTCTCACCCCTCGGGAAGGAATCCAACTCAGGCCTCCTGCGTGCGACATCCAATCACCTAACCACTACATCACAGACGCCAGGATAATCTCTACCAACACAAAGACGTTTAAATACACAGTGCATCCACAAACAGACCCCCCCCCCCCTTACATAAACACTTACTTCCACATCATTAACCAGCAGTTCAGATGTACTGAGCCCAAGATTTGGAATTCTTTAAAAAATTAAAGTTTCTATATTTGTGATATCAGTTGCGAGTGCTCCAGAAACATTTTGTCGAGAAATTCATTGTAACTGCTCAAAAGAGAAAGAAAAGATACATAGTCTGGGCAAAGTTTTTAAAAGAATTAAAGTTTTTTTCTCTCTCTCTCCTGAAAAATTTTGCTTTCAGAGCAGTTGAACATTTTGATGATGTTATAATTATAAGCACAAAGAACCAAGTACATCACTCAAAAAGAACGTTCAAGAAGATCCAACATCAGAGATGAAATTCAAATTTTCTTTAACTTCACATTTTGAGCACCTTCCGGCCAGCCGAAGTGTTGTACACCAGAGAGGGTGACAAGAGTTGCCACCTCCCAAAACTTACCACGGACAAGTTGAACCAGCTGAAGTGTTGTACACCAGAGAGGGTGACAAGAGTTCCCACCTCCCAAAACTTACCACGGACAAGTTGAACCAGGCCTGGGCCAGCTGGGTCACAATGTTGTCCTCATCTGCGTCTTGCATCCTCTTCAGCTCCTTCCTACAGGCAGAAACAACAGAGACAGAAACAAATCTCATGAAAGTGTAAGAGCCAAAAGAAAAGAGAAACGATCAGATAAAACAAAGTAAC